GAGTGCATTTTTATAATCCTTATAGTCCTTTTCAAAGCATGATGACAAGGTCGATAGTCCTGTATTCAAATTATTCCTGTGTTCAAATTATTTGCAAGTTGCTGAATGCTAGGCCTTCTAGACTTTCCCCCCCCAAATCTGCTTATTTTTATTTATACTTTCTAAGTCCATTCTGTGGTTAGATGTCGCTGCAGTGAGCTTCTGGGCACTCTGCCAAGGCTTCAGTATTGTCAGGATGCTTGATAAAGTACAAAGAAAAATGCTTGCCTGTGTTTCCTTCTAAAATTTTACAAGTAGTGTATAGCCTCAGAAGTGAGACCACCCTTATTAAAGAGCAGGACTAGATGAAAACAGAGCTGACTCTCACTTTCTCTGATTATCTGTACAGCTGGTTAGAATGTAGAGTTCACTTTGACATGCAAGAACTGCAGATGTCCGCAAATTAACAAGACAGTCTGAGCTAGAGACGTAGGCTTTTGGCAGCCAAAGGTGTCTGTGTTTAATACTGTAAAATTGTATAATGGTGTAACTGGTGAAATAGTGAAGATAAGTCTTTTCTGAAGTATTAAAACCGAACAAAAATGGTTTGAAATTTTAGAAGCTCACCGTTATCATTGCCTCTCTTACAATTGATCCTGTAGTTATGATGATGTTTGGCAGAGCTTTGTTCCTATGCACTACCGTGTATGGTTTCCACAAACGTTCTCATCCTTTTTTAAAAAAATCACTTTGTATATTTTTTAAAGCTGTTTTTATATTGCAACTTGACATTCATCTAATTCAAATGTAGCAAGATAGAGGAGCATATGGGGGAGGAAACTAAACATTTTTTGTCCTAGAGTATACTATGGTCAAGCTGATTGTTCATTTCCCAGATTAGTTTCTGTGTAAAAGTGATTGCTCTGTATTGAAAAAAACCAAACACAAAATGTAGATACTTGCTTGTAAATCTGACTTGAGGTGGAGTCAGTGCCATGTGCCTCCTTGTACTCTTTTTTTTTGGTATGTTTTGCTATATACATTGCACTGCAAAGAACAAAGCAATGTAGCTGCAGTATTTTTCTGCTGCATTTTAGAGAAGATGTTTGTAAATGAATCTGAATGGAGGTTGTTATGCTTTAATAAGAATTGAAAGGGGATCTGTGCGCATGCTTTGGAGTACTCACTAGACAAGATTATGTTCTATTGTAAGTTACAGACTTTTTACATGAGAGTTTGAGAACAACTGTGCTGTGCTTGCTCAGAGAATGGACAGGGTTTAAGCCTCTGACACCACAATGTCATAAAAACAAAAGTGACTTTGTTTTTCCTGTAGGAAAAATAAAATATAGAAGAAAGGAATTTAAATTTGATTTGTTTGATGTTCTCATGTACTTGCTTGTTTTTACTAATTTCCTCTCTCCTTTTCTTCTAAGTTTGTGCTGAAGCTTTCAATCCAGATGAAGAGGAAGAAGATACAGAACAAAGGGTAAGAATGAGTGAATTGCATCATGCGTGGTTCTCTCTGCAGCTTGACAGGCAGATGTCTGTACGTCACCTTAGCACTTGTGCATTTTGTTCTGAGAGGCTGTGTGGTATGCTGACATTGACAAAGTGACATTGCTTTGAAATTTAGGGCCACTTTGTCTCATGCACTTTTTAGTCACTGTAGTGTTAATATAATTTTACTTCAAAGGACTTGAGAGCTGTGCTTAAGTCTACCATCTTTAAAATTTGGGATATTTTCCTTTCTTAATTATCTTAAAGGCTTGTGAGGCAATTCCTAGAGCATCCATGCTGTTGTGAAGAATTAGTTAAGCTTTACCACAGCTGTTTCTTTATGGGTGCTTAAAATTCCTCACATGCTTTTTACTGCCTTTCCTGTCAAAGCAGTCCTGCCAGGGTAGGAGAGAGACTTTGTTGAAATATTTCGAGACTGTGGCCACCTGTTGTTCTATTGTTTTTGAAAGTTGGGAATTTCTAGGAATTGCAAGTCCAGATACTGTAATTGTATTTCTTTAGAGATGCTTTTATGTGAGCAAATCCCATAGCCTGGCTGGTGAGAGTCAATGTTTTCTCTCTGGACTTCTGATGTTCCATTTCCAGATTCCATCTCAAGGATGCTTACATTTCTGCAATGAAAACCTAAGTCTAATTTAATTTCTCTTTAAAAAAGAAGATACTTCATAAATAAGATGCTGTAAAAAGAAAAAAGACTATGAGTGTGTCTGATGATCCAAATGTTTGTAAACCTGGATATGTTTATTCCATCAAAAGTCTTAATTTTCCTGACTGCTGATTCAGTGTTCAATTTTCATTTAAAACTAGGATCTGAGATCTGCTCAACTTTGGACAATGAATTTTTAGAAATGCCTATTAATGTAACTTTTTTTGGAATCCTTGTTATTCCAGAAATATAGTTAACGTGGTAAATGTGAGGTAATTAATATTTTTGTATATGTTTTCACAATTAGCCCCTAACAAGCACATATAAAAACATTTTTATGACACAGTGTTGGTTCCTTTAACCTGATGAGATGCTTATAATTTGAAAGAAATAACAAAAAAATCTCTCAAACAGCAAAACTTTTATTTAAGTAACTTGAAAAAAGAAAATATAACAACTAAACCACTTCTTAGATAACTTCTGTTGTTAATGGGCTGAGATACATATGTATCGTATAAATCTTATAAACTACCTGTATGCTAACAATAAGTCAGAGTTTAGAAAGAAAACTGATAACTTTTTCCTCTATACCAAATGCTCAAGCCTTGACTGTATCTGTGGCTGGGTTAAAAGGGAAGGGCAAAGAAAAGGCATCCCTCTACTTGTCTGTTTTGACTCTTATTTTGCATTGTGTTAATTGTCAGCATAATACATTGCTTATGTCTCTCTCTTTCATTCTGTCTTGCATTCTATGTTTATATATAAATACTGTTTATGCAAATAACAAAAAAGAACTGTATACTTTGACACTCTTAAATTGTGTTCTGCTTTTTTACTCTGAAGCGAAGGTTCAGTCTGTTTCTATTTCTTTGTAGTCATGACAGTTTTGGTTTACTTTGTTTTAAAGGTAGTTCATCCAAAAACTGATGAACAGCGATGCAGACTGCAGGAAGCATGTAAAGATATCCTGCTCTTCAAAAACCTAGATCAGGTAATATCATTTTAAGGAAATCTTAACTGGAATTGATGGTTTGTAGGTACAGGTAGTAGCTTGATCTAACAGTCCTGACACTTGTTTGCACTGTGATAGTTCGTGAATTGTTAATTATATGCAAGCTGGACTGGGACATGTGTTTGGAGATCAACAATCAATGAACAATGTGAACAAACATGTCAAATTGTCAGTTAGATCCCTTTCCCTGCAAATTCAATTGTTTTTCTGTTAGAGAAAAGTTTTGAAGTTGTTTTTTGTTTGTTTGTTTTGGGGTGTTCTTTTTTGTTTGTTTGTGGTTGTAATTCTGTTGCTTATGTTGTTGGGTACCATTACACCTGATTTCCTTTTCCCTAGGAAACAGTTAATAATTTTTTTGGCAATTAAAAAAAGAAGTTACTTACACAATTGTGCTATTGAACACTATCCACATTTGCATGACTTCAGATTGCTGTGCCTTTTTTTTAAATGCCAATATGTCAGTAAATTTTCTGTAAATGAATGTAAAGTAATGTTTTTAGGTTGTTCCTATTCTTACTTGTCTTACTTTTATTGCTGAAATTGGTTATTAATTACTCATTGCATTGAATTTTAATGATGAGTGTCTCCATTGCTTGCACTTAGTAATCTTAATTGGTATGAATTTTTTTAATGAGGATCATAGGATAGTTCAGGAACAGACCTTTGGAGATCCTCTAATCCAGCCTCTGAGAGGCCATAGAATAAATGCGTCTCATCCCTGGTCTGGTGTTTCTGTGAAAACGGAAAGGATGGATGTGATAGCTTATGGTTTCAGAAAAGCTGCTCAGCTTTCACTGAAAGCCAGGAACTTCTCCCAGTTCTTGGTTGCTGTACAAACCCTGCGAGTCATTGAACTGCATTCTCAAAATAATTGTTGAAAGCTTTTGATTGCAGCAGACTTGAGGAACTGATGTGCTGTCAAAAAGATTCCTTGAATGGTGTCCTTTCCGAGACTGGCCTTTCACTGTTCTGGGATTCCTGTTGTCATTAAGCATATTTACTTCAGATATTTTAAAGGTTCCTTTTGCAAGTAACCTGATTACGTACAGTAAAAAATCAAACATTTAAGAACATTCAGCAGCTCAAGGGGTATGTACAAAATGTGATCACCATTCGAATTGAGTAAGCCAATTTTTTAGCTTCCAGCAAAATCACCCAGAAGCAAAAATTAATAACCCATTTATAGTCAAAGATGACTTTTTGAAAAACAAATTTGAGCTGAGAAAGTGGGCTTGGAAAAATACTACTACTTGGGAAAAGCTTTCTAAGTAGCTGAGGAGAGAAGTAATGGAAAATATCTTAACTGCAACTGTTTAAGCCTGAGTCTTTAAGATAGCACTCTTAACTCCCTCTGCATAATCTGACTGGTTTGGAAGGCTGGCTGTAGAATACCCACTGAAAGGCAGAATACATGGCTGCTCCTTTTGCTCAGTGTTTATTTTTCTTTAATAATTGTGAGGAACGCTTTCAAATTAAGGCTCAGAATAGGTTCTTTTGCCTCTTAACCTCTAAAGTGTGTCATGTAAAACTGCTAAATACAAGCAAACAAAACTGTATAAGGATTAAATATGACTGTATGACTCAAATGTCCTGGCCAAATTCATCCCTTTTCCACTGGTTGCATTTAGGTGAACTGTGCTGAATTTTGGCCCAGTGACTCAACAGCCCTTTTGAATGTTTTGAACTTGCGTTGATAGTTGCTGTAATACTTGCATCAAACACAAGGGAGTCAGCGTCCTGTAGATCACTTCTAGCAAGGTTCACGTTGAACTTTGAACTAAAATCAATTCAGCTTGTCACAGAGTTTAACCCTGAGGTTTTGAGCATCTCTGATGATAAACTTGATTTATGTTTCAATATAAAGTGCTGAGGGAGTAGATAACTTCTCTCCTGTTAAAAGCTCTGTGTGATGTATAGTGCGTAGGCTCCATGGTGTCTCATAAATGAGTTTGTAGACTCCTAGTTACAACTGAATTTTGTACTGGGTGAGAGCAATGACTATTACCATTACCAGCAAGGCCCCTGAGCATACTCAGTACCCATATTTAATCCAAGAGAGTTTTTTACAGTTCAGGAATCTGACAAAGCTTGTCTTTTTGTTGATAGAAGAGCTCAGGGTTTTTGTTACTTAAGATGTAAGTCTTTGCCTGTTTATCCTCCAAATAAAGCATTGTTGAGTTACAGTATTTTTAAAAAGCTTTTTAAAATGTGTTGCTTGTTTTCTGACAACTGTTACTTAAATGCATGCTGTGAAATATGTGGTTGAAATAAATGGCTTTCATGCAATGATTGTTTGATTAGTTTAAATACCGGGAGAGTTTTTAAAGACAAGAAAATAGGATTCTAGTGGAAAGATAGGCAATATTTTCAATATAGTGGTGCCTACAGATGCTGCAATGATTATCCTCAACTTAAGGAGCGCAGTAAATATTTCAAGTGTATCTAGCAGCATAAAGACTAGTTTGCGTGTTCATGCGGTATATTTTTAGAAACTCAGCTGTGATCTACATCTTCAACTTTTGAACATCTGCCCATTGAAAATGCAATGAAAGTCCATTGTTAATGGACTTTGGAATAACAAAGATGGCAAAGCAGCTCAGGATTGAGGCAAGGTATTTATATGGCATCATCTCTTTTGGCTTTCACAGCTTCCCTGGCTGTGCTGCCTACAAAAATGTTTAGTCGTGGCTCATCAGAGAAACCTAGCTTGAACCTGCTGTGCAGACCAGCATTAACCCATTTTCTGTACGTGCTTCTCATTGGTACCTATCTGATCTTGTCTTGTGCCGGAATTACAGGTTCTCTAAGACCCAGACTATCTAGGGAAATAACTCTGTACAGTCCTGATCATGCCTGGGGCTCTTAGATGATGACAGTGCAAATAAGTTACTAATAAATTGTGGTGCAGTTTCTAGACATACATATGTATCATGAAGTATATGTACTGTTGACATAAATCAATGTGTATCCATTGCAGTGAAGCTGTGTCAGATTATACCAAGTGAGAGCTTGCTGTACATGTGTGCTTTGGAACTGAAATGGTATGCATGTTAAGCTATTTGGACATAAATTTGAGATAATAGCTCTTCTGTAATGGAAGTACCTATGTTTCTCTGCATTATTGAACTTATATTAATATAAGCTGGAAACAAGTGAGGTACTTATTAAATATTGATTTCCATTAGTATCAGTATTACTTGTATTTGCATACTGTAAAAATAATGCAATGCATGTTGCACTTCTATATCCAGATCAAGTCAAATGGACTCATCCTTGTACGGCAATAATGCTAAGGTGTATTTTCTGAGAGATTTTTGATTTTTTTTTTCTTCTCCTGTTTGTTTTCTAGGAGCAGCTGTCTCAGGTCCTTGATGCTATGTTTGAGAGGAAAGTGAAACCTCAGGAACATGTGATTGACCAAGGTGATGATGGAGACAACTTCTATGTCGTTGAGCGGTAAGCAGCTGTGCCTTTGAAATGTAGAGTATGTTTCTTTTCAGTTTCTTTTCAGTTTCTTAGAAATGGCAGGGAATGCTTACTGCAGGAGAGTTTCTGAAGGAAATTTACTTTTTGCGGTCATTGCCTCTTCCTTTGATCTTTCCATTTTTCCCCTTTCGGCCCCCATTGACTTTTGGATCATTTGTTCAGGGACAATCATATTTGACACGGGCAGACATTTCAAACCTGCTGGGTTTTAACACATTCTGTGTAACTGCGTAAAAACTCAAATACCACTTTCTCTGAGGGAAGGGCTGCAGCATGAGCTTGCCTATGATTTGTTCAGCTTAGCTTTTGTGCCCATCAGCACATGCATAGCTTAAACCTAGCCATATTACATGCTGTCTCTAGACCAGGATGTGTGTTTTCTGAAGAAAGGAGGGGGGGAAAAGCAGCAGAAGAAACCATATGGTAAGGGAAGGGGTAGGAGGTTATTTTGGGGAAGGAGAATACAGGAAATGAAAATCCATGGTAGTGGCTACCATGGAACAACTTGGACTTTGTCCAATTAGTTTTGATCCCTGACTTTACAGAGACTTGTGGTTACTTTGCTTCTGTTGGTCATGTGATTTGTATTTGCAGAGTTTAAGGTGCCATTTTGCAATTTCTCATATCAAGCAAATTCACATGATAATTTTGTAGATCATGTATGTGTGCAACAGGGATATAATAGATATGTGTATGCATGCACATTTTGAGTATCTTTTACCCTTTTGCAAGAATTTCTGGCCAATGTTACTTCTAATTGCCATATCTGAAGAAGAATTAAGAACACAGATTTATTTTTTCCTGTAAAACTGTAATATTAAACAGAATATTACGATGAATTATAAATGTCTGTTGGAACACGATCTTAGCAAACTACTTTTTTGACGCACTGTTATCTTCCTTATCAGTGAAATAACAGCACCATTAATATTGTATTAAATGCTTTCAAGGCAGTTTTTCAAGAAAATGTGAATTTGAATTGTCATTTATGCTGTGTTCAGGGAAAATAATTTCTAGGTTAGAAATTATTCATTTTAAATGATCCTTGTTCATTTTAAGGACATCCCCTTCTCTGATTAGTGGAATTACAGAACATAAGGCTACCTCAATTGTATTCTGACCATATGCCTGATCCCCTGCGCTTTGCCATACCATCCCATTAGCCTAAACCAGTGCTCCATTTCTACACTCAGTTATCTCCCTCGACCGCTCTGCCTCAGACCGATCTCATGTCTTTGGCTAGATAAGACAAGTTCCTCCTCTTGCTGTGTTCACTGGGGAGATCAGGCTGTCCCAGAAGAGAGTTCCATCAGAACTTGTGGGAGCCAGAGCCACCAGCTCTGCAAAGACGAGATGTATGTACAGCAGTGGTTCCTAATCTTGAGGAAACTTAAACTCTCAAAAATGTTAGATAACATCAGCCTATTATAATTTGTTTCTGTGTAAGGCTCTTAACCTGTTGGTTACTAAAAAGCTTTTCCTGCTATGAGTTTTAACCTAAAACAAAGTAGTGAAATGGAGCCTTATCTTTTGATATTCAGGTAAATGTTTTTATGGTCTGTGTTCTACAGATATAATGCTATTCCATGATTTTTTTTTTCTGTCAAGAGATAACTGGGTTGGAAGACTTCAGGTTTATAAGTTTTTTGTTTTGTTTTACTCTCGGGGTATAATATGCCAGTAACATAAATATGTTGCCAAAAGTATGTGGCAGAAAGGCTATACAGCGAGGGAAGTTAAATTCAGTGTTGTCTACCAATAGAGCATACCAGCCTTTGCTGTAAACACCAACTCGGCTGCAACTCTTATGCTGGCTATTCAGTTATTAGAAAGAAATCTACAGTTTTCTGTCCCACTCTCCCTTTCCAGTCCTCCTCCACCTCCCACCTCCTCATTTTTTCATGCAAAAGAATAGCAGGATATTGGTGCTTATGGAAAGCGACAATATTTCCACTTGCCTGCAAGTGCAAGTTCAGAGGACTCTGGCTCTTTCAAAGCATCAGTAGGCATGTCTAGTTACTCTGAGATAACCCATTAATGCCTAAATATCCCTGAGAATTAGTTTCTTCTCCTCACTGCCTGAATGAACAGTGACTTTGTGTTGCCAGTGTAACTCTTTAGCTTCTTGTCTAGCAAAACAGGCTTTCTGGCACAGGTCTCTTTTTCCTCAAAGTCTTCTGGTTGTAATACTTCCTTATCAGATCACTTTTGTCTGAGCATCTTTTACTGTGCGCAGAGAGACACCAGGCAGGACAGATGCAACCTGAGGATGCAGCAGCTATGTAGTGCTTACTGCATGGAAGGGAGTGCTCGGACAAATGTGTTCATCACATCAGTATGCTCATCGCTGCTGAGGAGGCACCTGATGAGTCTCTGCTGATTGAGCAGTCATAAGTCAGGAGGGGCAGCATTGGCCTCTGCCTCTTGGAACCGGCTGATCCACAATCTTGCTGAGTTGCTGCCTTCTACTTTTTGTTTTCCTTGGGGTTTTATATTTTTTAATGTCAGTATTTTTCTTTTGAGTCCTTGAGCTCCTAACAATTACCATCTCAACAATTACACTTCAGTCTGTGTTTTTATTCTTATCTTGCAGGGCTTTAGCTCACAGACTGTCTCACAGCTTGGCAACGGTTTTCTCAATAAATCTGAGCCAAGGTCACCCAGTGGTGCCTTACCAATTTAGTCCTTGGGCCATGGACATCTGAATGCTGAACTGAAGGTTATGTGGCTATAGTGATTTGGAAATAAGTGGCACTAGTGAGTGACTTTCAGACTGAGGGATGGGAAGAAGTTGTTGCATTTTGCTTCAGGTGCTCACAAATGGCTCTTCTAGATCAAACTTTTCTCTGGATCTGAAAGGCTTTAATACAGTAGACCCTCAAGTCATTGTGCAAAGCTTCCTGACTTTGATGTATTTTAATTGTTTGATGCATGTAATGTCCACTTTGTGGAATCTCCTATAAATGAAGTTGGCATAAAGCTGTCCTGTAGTACTTTTTAAAAATTTATTTATTTTTATTTTTTAGATGCAGCAGTGTTCAAAGATAACTCTAACAAACCCAGGGCTGTCCATCAGCAATCCTGAAAGACCATCTGCTGCTAATACTAGGCAGGTCTCACCAACGAGCCTGTTCCCATACTTGTTTACTATGCCATTTCTGTTGATTTTCTTTTTTTTCCCTCCCCTAATGTGCCTAATGATGTTCTGGGAGATAATACCATTCCTTCTGACAAAGATCTAAACTCCTGGGGGAAATTATGTGTGTTCAGCTGCTTAAAGCCAGGAAGGTGTTCCCTACCTGCTTTTCTCCAGGGCATGGTATATTTTGTAAAAGTCTCTTAGGCCGGTGTCTAGTCCCTGAATGATCTGTGCTGCCATAGCCAAGAAATAATCAAGCCTGGTCAAGCTATCTTTTTAAATTACTTTTTTAACGCCCCAAGCATAAGAGAATCCTGAGGGCATTAGAGACTCTTGTTCGATTTCTAAGGGCTACCTTTCTGTGTACAGCCTGTTTCTTCTTGATCCAGATTTGTGTCTTGAGCTTTGACTCGCGGAACTTGTACCTGCATCTTCATTAGAGTAGTCCTTTGATTCTTAGTAAATTCTGGGATACTGTTTCCTTAACTTCATTATAATGTAGGAAGCGTGCCTCTTAAAGAGCAGGGTGAGGAGGCCTTTCCAGCTTAAACAGGTTACAGCTCCCTATCAACAACGTGCCAGGAGGCTTCTGGTACTTGAACACTTTCCTCTTGATCTGTTCAGAGATCCTGGCTAGAAGTCAGTAGTTTAGAGAGCTTTCCTTTTCTCCAAGTGAGCTGTAACTGGAAGAAAGGGAATTAAAATGTGTACTAAAAAGCATCTACTCCTTTGTTTTCCAGGGGATTGTATGATATTGTTGTAGCAAAGGACAACCAGTCACGCTGTGTGGGCCGCTATGACAATCATGGCAGTTTTGGGGAACTGGCGTTGATGTACAACACTCCGAGAGCTGCCACCATTGTTGCCACAACAGAAGGAGCCCTCTGGGGACTGGTAAGGAAAGGAAATTGCTCTCATCTGCATAATATTTTAAACACTAACTCACCGTATCCAGTGCTTCTCTTGGTATGTACTCCTTGTGCTAATAGCTATTTTATCATGATCTGTTATCTCACCTCCTGGCATAAGAGATCCATTGTGCAAGTCTTTTTGGCCACCTTTCTAGAACAACTTGTCTGTAAAAATTATATCACTAGTTATATCTGTTCCTTTATTATTCTGCATTTGCTGTAATCATGGCTTTTGTTAGGGAAACAAACCCTGGTTTTGTTTTCATCCTGCAGAGGACAGTGGAGACGTTAACGGACATATTTTATGGGAGGCGGAAATGGTATCTAAATGATGTTCTTTATTTTCAACACCCTTTCCTACCATTTTGTCTGCTTTAAGGGGAATGGGAAGGTGTTAAATATCTTCTTCAAATCACTGACATCCTCAAGAGCTAGCAAAACTGCCCAAAGCTTTGTTTACCTTCAAAATAAACTGTCATGATGTTTCTGGTCCCTTTATGTTACCCTGGAAGAGGTTCTCAGGTCAGCATGACCTATGAGATACCAAACTAAATGATGCTGTTGCTTTGTCTCTAGCCCAGCAGTGTTGAATGCGAAGCTGTAGACACTAGTTTCCTTTTTTAGTTTTTGTCTCTGTACTATTTGGATAGGGTTATTTTCACAGTGCCCCCTTACTCATCTGTGAGGGCTCACATAGTAAGTGGATTGTGTGATCAATGAAGCCTTTGAATCCAGAAGGGTTGTATGCTGTGTGCGCTGGGCTCCTCGGCAACTATCGCTGGGGGTTGACCATGTGTTGTGACCCTGATTATAGGACTGATAAGCTGCTACACGCGGCATGCTTATGCAATCTATGCACTTGCTGGGAAAACTGACTTCTGACTTCCCGTCTCATTGTGAGCTGAAAGAAAAGATTTTGGTAAATCAACCGGGGAGTAATGTCAGAATCTACTTTCTTGAACAAGATAGAACAAAGCAACTACCTACAAACTGAGCTCATTCATAAAAGGAAGAAAATGAGAAGATGGTTCTTTGTTCCAGTTTGGCTTTAAAAAGCACTGCACAAATTGGGTTAATTTGGGGGTTGTTTTTTCTGTGATTCATTCACTTAATTAGCGAGGTGTAGTTGAAGAGGGACCTCTTGCTAGTCATCTGTCCTGTAGATATTTTGTAACTAAGGCTGCATTTCCTGCCTAAAACTTCGGTTATTTCTTCCAGTTATTCTGTCGTTGCTATGTTTTATTGCACTATTTTGTGCCTGATGTAATTTAAACATATTTTTATTAGTCTGCAGAAGTCATTGCTAAAGCTGATGGGTTATCTGCAGTTTAGGAAATGTGGATTACTCCTGCTGCATTGCAGACTTAGGCCAACAAAAGCCTGGAAGGCTCAGGCACAAAGCAGTTATCAAACGTGGGTCTCTTCTGCAACAGAGAAATATCTTCAGCCTTTGCTACTGAACCTGTCTGGGGAAAACCTCATGATCACACACACTTCCTTCACTGCTCTGCCTTTGTTGTTCAAATACTGCTGCTTCTCCTCCCTCACTGATACTCTCAAACAAATGAATTCTGATTTTTTTTTTTAACGCTTTTACAATTACCCTGACCTTCTTCTGCACCTTTCTGGTCCTCCAAACATGTACGTTTGAAGAGACTTCTGCCACTGAAGAATGTCTTTAAAAACAAACAAACAAAACACAGCAAACACCAAAACCAGTTCCCCCATGCTTTATCAACACTTGTTCTTCTTTGGGTAACAGTAATACCATTCTTCCCTTCATCTTTCACCTCCTTCAACTTTTATATGTCACTAGTGTCACCTGTATCATCATTGTTTCAAGTGACAAGTATTTTCAGCCTGCATCCCATAAAACCGTTCACTTTCTTGAAAATACCTCTTTACCTCACAATGTTGCTCGCTGCTAAGGTATCAGTTGATGTTTTCAGAAAATGAGATCCAGAGGAATGGCTCTCAGGACTGGATGTTTCTGCTAATTGTGGTACGTGTAAGCTTAAAAGATTCTCTTTTTTTTTTTTTTTGTACCATTTTCCTAGCCGAATTTCTGCACCTTTCCTCTGCCTTTTTGTTTTTGATTTTTACACTTACGGTCTCATGTTGTGCAAGGTAAACTCTACAACTCTCACTCCGTTCATAATTTAGTGCTGATCCTAATAGGGACCATGGGCATTATTGTAATGCAAATGCTAACAAAAATACCCGGTGGGCAATTGCCCTTCTGCTTAACCCGGACATGCTGTTCAGTTTCAGCCCTCTTGTGGCCTTTCTCATCGCTGTTTGCCAGTAGTTGAGCCCTGCCTTTTCTGTGTGGGGAAAAAAAAAAAGCATTTTGCTAAGATCTCTGACAGTCAACTCTCAAATATGTCTGCCATTGCAGGTCCTGAGGCAGGAGCTGTGGTTAGCTGGGCGAGCTTGCCTTCACTCGGGCACGTAGTGCCGCCCTGTGGCCACGGAGCCTGCACATCGCTACCTGCTGCCTGGGGAAAAGATCAGAGCAGGAAGGGGTGGGAATCTTGTCCAATACTTGGGCTTCAAAAACAAACCAAACAATTTTTCCATCAGGAAGGTGTTTATGGTACAAGCTGGCAGTTAGGAAGTAGTCATTACAAAATCTGCCTCTTGGATCCTAGAAGGTGGAGGAATGAATCAAGCCTGTTGCTGTTTGATACTCTGTTCCTGATCTCCTTAAGACCAGTATAAATTCCAAATTATTTTTGACATCTGTGACTCAAGTAGAGAAGAATCCAATTTGGACTTAATACTGCTGTTGCCTTAACAAATAAGTGTTGGAAATGCCAATTTCCAAATGGGTTCAGGAGGAAGAGCATAACTTCTTTATTGTATGTGGAAACATGAAGGATACATTAATAAACAGTCAGACAAACCCCAAAAACGCTACCTGGAAAAACAGTACAAGATAGACTAAAAATGGAATTCTTAAATGCTTATCTGAGAAGGACCAGGTCTTACAGCTCCCTGTTTTTCAATTTGTTATTGCAGCAAGTACTCTCATAAGAGCTGTTACGATCCCCATTGTGATGGACATGGTATCATTTTAACAGCTAGCTGCTCAAACCCAGTGTTTGTTGCAAATACTAGTTCATGTTTGTCAGTTCTTTAAACAGGGAGCATTGTAGTCGAGAGGAATAATGTATTTCTCTGTGCTGTTTCTTGCAGGATCGAGTGACATTCAGAAGAATTATATTGAAAAACAACGCAAAGAAGAGGAAGACATATGAATTATTTATTGAGTCTGTGCCCCTTCTTAAATCCTTGGAGGTAAAGCCTCTCTGACATCCGCATCAAATTCATGCGTTAGCATTAGCTCCACAGTCAGTGTTTCTGCTATATCAGAAATCTGTGTCATTTTTGCTTAGAACAAAATTTTAAGAGCTGCTTTGGTATCACGTTTATTGTAATTTGCATTGTTGAAGTTGTACACTGTTTGGTTTTTTTTCATATCCTTTGTTCACAGTGAGCAATTTGCTGTTTTTTATCTCGGTCTGTGTAAAGATTAAAAAAAATGAATCACAAAACAAAAAACATCTCTAAATATGTCAGAACAGGTATTAAAGTGAAAATTAGAACTCAGGGCTGTGGTTCCCTTTGAGGGTGTGATACTGAAGTAATGATACAATCACTGGGATATTTGGCCTTTATCAGCCATGAATGATTTTAAATTTGAGACAAAGATGTGGGCCGCAGTAGGTCTTGCTTTAACCTTAACCGGTACTCAGGAGGTAAACTAATAGGCTAAAGGGAAGCACTGCTACCTGGGAACAAAACAACCAGGCAGACGTCATGTTGACATGTGTGGTGCATGACTTTAGCAACAATATCTAAATTGTCACTTCTAAGCTATTGATTCAGCCTGGATCTTCAGAGGGCTCTTGGAACCATGCCAAACTGCTCTGAAATTAGTATGTGTCTGTCTGTGCCTTACACCGTAACTTGCCGTTTGTTTTCTCATCATAAGGATATTTTTCAGCATTAATCTTTAGTATTTGAGAAGAGCTTTTAATCCCTTTGAGACAAGATTACAAAATTGCAAAGTGTCATTAGGTGTGAATAGCAACCTCTGATACATATTATTTTGGACATATGTTGGTAGCTGTGGAACGGGTAAATTGCACAACACCTTCTCCCTCAGTGCCTGGCTTAAACTAGTTCCAGCAATGTGACTTTTTTTGAGCACAAAAATGACTCATAAATATTTAAAGTTATAGGAAAAATAACTCATTAGCAGTGGATAGCTTTTTGCATGACACACTGCAGTTGAATCATGCGTGGATCAGAATTAAGTTTCTCAAACATGGTCTAGGTTGAGCTGCATTTGTGGAATGAATGGATTACAATTGAATCATACAAGATATTAATTTTAACTGCAGGATTTTCTTCCTTTTTTAATATGTTTTTTACACTGCTCTGAAGCAATAAAATTGTTCTGTGGTGTTCTGGATGGGCAGTGGTGCACATTGGAGATAAATTTAACTGTTCTTTCTCCCTGTTTATAAAGACTTGGGTGTGTTTCAGTGTGTCAGATTAGTACCTCTTACCCTTGCTGCTGGGCACCCTGTTGCAGTACCTGCTTACAATTTAGGGCCAGTATCCTTTTCATATCCCTTTCCTCTCTCCACTCTAGGAATGAGTTCTGGGACACTCATACACTCCCACATATTCAAGTATATGGTGATTAAAATACTTTGAAAATGTGTTACTGGTGTTTCTTATTGACATTTGTTCTTAGAAAGTTTATGACATTTTTCTGAGTGTTTTCTTCAAATTTCAACTGAATCTTAGAGAAACTGATTTATTTCTTTTTCCATTTTTGGTCTAAACCAGCCAAATCAGTTATCTGTTAACTTTGGGGGTGAGAAAAGCGCATGGATGGGACACCAGACAATTTTATTTTCCTACTGATGATGCTAGTCTTGAAAGCTGTGGTGCAGTACAATGTCATTGTAGGGGTTGTTTTTTTCAATACCCAGATACTGCATGTTTGTGTGTCTACTGAATGCCTCTTCATTTCAGGGCTACAGAGTTTACCAGAGGTGTACTGTGATAGATGATTATGTTTAATTTTCCTCTTTGTTCCAGGCATCAGAGCGAATGAAGATAGTGGATGTTATAGGGGAGAAGGTGTATCAAGATGGGGAACGTATCATTTCTCAGGTACTTGAAGACTAAATTTCTCTTTATCATTCTCCTTTCTCTGCTTCTTTTTTCCTTTTTGGAATTGACTTATAGAAGAATCCTATTACTTGGACCAACTGACATCACTTACTCTTTTAATATTTCCAATTTATTTAACCACTTCTTGAATGGTGGGGAATGGCCAGTATGTCTTTTGCTACAAATTTATTCTACTACTTTATTTTACTACTACTGGGTTTTTCTTCTCTCATCTGTTTGTTTTTAATAAATGGTCTTTGCAAGGTTTCAAGAAGAGTATGCCTTAAGAAGCTGAAATTAAATGTCTGTCTATGCAATTTTCCATGAAAGCCCCCAGCTAGACTTTTCATAGGCACCTAAGGCCAGATTAAAGCATGTAGAGTCACAAGCATGTAGCGAAGTCATCTCTAATTCCTAGGTCTAACTAAACAACGAAACCAAACAATTCAACAGGAGTATGATTTGGATGAAACTAAATGATGTCGTTTGGAGTATTTTACTAGTTAGACCCAACTCAGTTAACTATTCTAAGAAACTACTGGGGTTAATTAAAACCACTGTTTTTCCTGATGCTCTTAAAAGGAGTATTTCAATGGTGGAGTGGTCTAGCTTCAATAGACAGCCTTTAGTTGTTGGTATATGTTTTGTCTGCTGTAGTAAGATTAAGGCTAGAGTGGTGGAACATGAAGCTGGACAAACTCAAGCTAAAGCTGGGGGATTTTTTTGGCTGTGACACAAATAACTTTTTGGAACACTGTTGCTGATGAAACACTGGAATTTTGCATCAAGTTTAGCTTGGGGTTGCTTTGTTTGTTGCAAAAGTGCTCCAGTTCAAGTAGAATTTAATGCAAGAAAGTCCTTGGCTTACATGAAGTTGCAGGTTTTGATCACAACTGTTGTCTGCTTTTATAAACAGAATATGACTCCTTGATAATGTCTTGAATAATTAATTTTAATTGCCTTGAATGTCAGATAACTCTGAATGTAGGAAACCTTAATTTGCTGATAACCAAATACTGCCAAATTACTTCTTTCCAAAAATACCCTCAATTTTGTAAGTTAAATCTTGTTGCTTAAGACCCTGAGAAAACTGAACTGTCAGCAAAATCAAAGTTTATAAATCAGTCTCAAAACTGGGAACCCATGCAATCAGTGATCCAATTATGCAGTTGGTTTTAATCTTTTGTAATAACTGAATTAAGGACAAGGATGTAATTACCTTTAAAAGGAAGATTAATAGTCTGGATAGGTCTGGGTGATGGTAATACGCTGCTAAAGATGATGAAATTTTATGCTTGTAAAAGATGTGATAGCTCTTACATTACAGCAGTTGCATCGATACTATGAACCCCTTTTCTCTTGTGGGTAATTTTACATTTTAATGATCTTTCTGGAATTTGACCCTTCAGTTAAGGGCAGTATGCTTTAAAGCACTTGAAAATTGTTAGTGCCTATGTTACGAGGTTGTTTCCCGCTCAGTTTGTTTTAATTCCTTTAAAAAAAAATAAAATGCTCTTTCAGTACTTACTCTTTCAGAAGTGTGCCGAGTGCATTATTCATGTTGTGATAGATGGCAACAGTGAATGAAAGGCTTTGTGCTCGATGGTCTATGACCATCCCCTGGAAGCTTAGCTAAGGGCCTAATTTCTTCTGTAACTCCATGTTTAAATCTTGCATCATCTTATCCCAGCCCATGTTTCATACTCAAGTCATAATCATCTCTCTCTATCCTCCCCATCACACTCATACTCTCCTTGCCCACTTGACGTAATGTCAGATTTATCTCTCTCCTCACACTGTTTCACAATTGTTTGGGTTTTTTTCTTTTTTGCTGAGCTGCTTCCATTCCTTTATCAGTTCCTTATTCAGACTGTGTCTCTGTGAAACCTTTAGTCCCTTTGCTTCTGATTCACAGCAGGAGGCATGTGCCAGCTCTCCGCTCTGACTTCCAGTCCTATACCACGCCCACAGGGGCTGCCACAGAGAGGGAAACTCCTCTCTGTCATAACTAAAACTTTAAAAATATTAAGTCCTGGCAGAGGTCTCCAGAGCAGGTGTAAATGACGATCTGTTGAAGGTCTGCAATCTATGTTCATGCTCCCCAAATACAACTATTCTGGGTTCTGCTGGTCTCCCACTATTTTACCCTGGATTGACTGAGCTCGTACTTAGTTTAATCAGTCCTTCTTCCTACTGACATCTAGAAATGCGGTCACTAAATCGGTGTTTTATTAAAACTTGCTTCTGGAAATCTTAGGCCCTGCTTAGTTTCACTAACCATGGGATACTTCCATCAGAATCAGAAGATTTGCATTTAAGTGATTTTGTTATATATTGTCAATCTCCTTTTGCTTTTTCCTTTCCACCTGCCCTCTCACTGCATGATGTGTACTACTAGTTCCTTCCCCTGTGGGTTACTCTAGCATATTACCTAACCAGTCACCTTTCAGTGTTAAGACTTTGAGTGTTTGTCAATTCCAGCAGCTTTTTGCACAAGGCCTAGTTCAGAGTGAGTGCTTTAATACCACTTACACATACTTTTACAGTAAACTAAAAAATAATTTGTTTTACCTTTTCCTCTTCACAGGGCGATAAAGCAGATTGTTTTTACATTGTAGAATCTGGTGAAGTAAAAATCTTGATTAAAAGCAAGGTGAGTTCAAATTGGATGATTAGGCTTTAGGTCAATCCTGGATTTGATTAATACAAGTGGTGTGAAAAAGCCTACCCTGACTTATTTTAAGATAGTATTTTATGATATTTATCATCATCACTCGTGTGATGTAGGTTGTAAATCCCCACACCTGTTCTAAGAGGCCAGAAGTCCCTTTACTAAAGCTGGCAAGTCTTTTGCTTGTATCTGCTCCTCTGCAAACTAACCTGATCTACTCTCTCTGGCCTTAAGGGTGGAGATGAATTTTTTTCCTAGGATTATAGCAAACTGCACCTTACAAAACCTGGGGTCTATTATGTCTAGACTTTATAACTAGACTTTGGCATTTGAACGGATCTCTGTACGGTCTGAAGCAGCCTTAGGGAACAACATGTTGTGCATGATCAAACCTGTGTTAGGCTAATATAGTAGCAGTTCCCAAAGCTGTAACAGTAAATATCTGTCAATCTCACAACATGTGGGCTGGCATACGCTTTTCTTATCAAACTTCTAACTGAACAAGCTGTTAAGGTTCTGCCAGTACAGAGCAGAATGTTTGGGACTTGCTAGTTTAAAAGCCTTAAACCAATGAGCTGTTGCACATCTGTAAGATATCTGGGATTAACTGCAGCCTTATACAAAGACAGAACTGTATGCAAATAATTAAAATGTACCATTTGACAGACTATGACAAGTAAAGAAGCTAACCAAGAAGTGGAGATTGCCCGGTGTCACAGAGGGCAGTATTTTGGAGAACTTGCACTTGTTACCAACAAACCCAGAGCAGCCTCTGCCTATGCTGTTGGGGAGGTCAAATGTTTAGGTAAGCAGATGTTCTGTGTTTCTAGTTACCCTTTTCTGGTCTTTGCTTGTTTTGTGGACCACACCTGAGCGAGCAGCTATTCAAAACCTAGCAGCCTTTTGGTAACTGGCGGTCAGACACAAGAAGCTAGGAGCATGGGTTGGAGCGGATCTCCACGTTGAAGCTTGAGTGGCACCGCTGCTTCCTTCCAGCAGATTCTGTTTTTTCTGCTTGTGTGGCCTGTACTCTTTGAAGGGGTAAGTAGCATCAGCTTCTTGTCTACAGCTTGTTTGTCTCACACAGCTTTCGAGTGATCTTTCAGTGCCAGTGTGGTGTGTGTTTGGCTTCTGTATTTATCCTTGAGGTCAGATGTGTATTTCATTAATCCTGTTTCTCCGAATAACAGTACAGAGGGAAAAGAGAATATGATTTCTGTGGCTTCTGTTGAAGCCCCAGACCCGAATGGGTTGGACTGGAGGTCTGTGTTCTGAGTTCAAAAAAATAGGTCGGTGTGTGGTGTCCTTTTTGACAAACGATCTTGTTTTTGCTTGTGTTCCTTTGCAGTCATGGATGTACAAGCATTTGAGAGGTTGCTTGGACCCTGTATGGACATTATGAAGAGGAATATAACACATTATGAGGAGCAGCTGGTGGCAATGTTTGGCTCTAGCATGGACCTTTTGGATCCAGGAAATTAGGCACAGGGTACCTCAATGCCTTCTTAGTTCAAGACACAGAAAAGCCTCCTATCAGCAACACAACTCACAAGGAAAATGGACACTACGGAACAGTTACTGCTGCTGTCTTCTTGGGCATTTTAGAAACCATAAACGAGTCTCAGCACAGATGGATTGCTCACTCCCTGCCTCCACTTTGCTGCTGATACTTCATTATTAGACCTAGATTAAAGATGATTCTAACCCTATGCTCACTTACTTGGTTCAGAATGGCATCTGTCCAACAGTTCAAGTGCCTGATATGAAACCCAAAGTGTGCAAGGTAGAGAAGCCTCCTTCCTTCTGGTGTTACTGTTGGGATAAACTTTCAGATCAGATTGTGTAGTGGGAGGTCGCCTGCTCTGCAGAGGCACCCTGTGGGGAGTATGAGCCTTTTATGGGCTTATTACCTTAATTGGATGCTTTCCTTACACAATGTCAAATTTGCTTTTAATTGTAGCATCTGGGTTTGAAGTTAAAATATCAATGGAGCCAATTAATAAGGTGGCACTGAAGTTTTCTTCCACCTGCCGAAAGCAGCAGGTACTATAGCTCTTTAAACCAAGTAAACCGAGCTGGGGACATGGGAGAGTCTGCTTAGCAACAAAATGCAGAAGATGAAGCATTACTATATTTTTAAGTGTTTTCTGAGCGGCAAAGAAAATTGGTTTATTCTATGCTGCCCAAAAAAGTGCAGTGGTTCAGATCAAATGGCCTGAAGGTGTCATAATTGTCATCTCCCCAAATTTGCTCCTTGTTACTGACACAGTACATGTTACTGTGGTGAGATCACAATATATGACCTTCTCTTGCCTACAGAGATCTTTGTACTACTAGATTTCCCAGGGCGCTGTTGTTGACTTGGGTCAGTTTTAAAGCTTTTTAAGGAGGTGAATGTTTTGTAATTTAAATGAAGACTACTTCTGTACTTACTTACAGGAGCTTCCCCCAGTCCTAACATTTCACAGTATTCTAACTTCATTAGGCACTTGGATGCTTCCAAATACCACGTTGATTTGCTAAACTTTTGAAAAGTTGGCAGCATTTGACTTTGTAAAGCAAATGTCTTTGCTAACTACGTAGTTGGTGTGTTTGAGGAGTCTTTTTGGTTTAGGTGATAACTAAGCTAATGATGTTTATCTGAAATACCTGTTAAATTTGCAGCATTTATTAGGTAGATTCTATTTCTATAGCTTTAATGACCTTAATTGGCATCTGCTGAGATTTTATCAGAGTATTATCTAAATAAGAATCAGACCATAAGAAGGACATTTTTATGGTGTACAAACAGAATATTTATATTAAGACATTGAATTTGTAGGTTATAAATCTAGTGACCCTTTGAATTGACATTCTTCTGCAGCTCATGCAAAACTTACTGGTGTTTTATGGGGTTATAAAATTTTAATTGTGGATGCTAGTATAACAGAACCTGCTCTTTTTATTCATGGCCATGTGAGCAAGAACAGAAAGATGCTAATGTTGAATTCCTGCTTCTAGTTATCACAGTGGACATTTCTCTAAGGCACGAGATGCTTAGCTGCAACTCTAAGTTGATTTCTGGACAATTTTCTTCCCTAAATGGATGAGCTCCTCCCAGTTCCTGCAATATGAGTAAGATGGAAACTTTTAAGTTTGAATGGCTGTTGTCCGGTTACTGTAATTGGAGTCATATTTTTATATAATGCAAATGATTTGTAACGGACACCACTGAACTAGGTGTTTCATATTATTAAAGTCCTGGTTGTGATGTCTAGTGGCTGTTCTAACTGCATGTATTTTAGAACAGTGAATTTCCCTTGGTTTACTGGGCTGTTTTTTGTTGTAAATTACAGCCAAAGCAGCAGCAGGTACTTCATTCAAGCTTCCAAGGTTTAACACCAAAGACAAAATCATTCTTTTGATTACAGAATTACAAAAACAACCAAAAAACCCAAAACACACACACACACACAAAAAAAAAAACCCCAAACAAAAACAAAGTAAAAACAAGGAGAAAAAAAAAGAAAAAACCCCGCTCATCAGGTCCTTGCATTGATAACAGATAAAACTTGAAGATACTTTGGGCTCCAAGACAAGAGTCTTCTTGAACCAGCTCATGACTGTTCTGCAAACCAGACATAAACTGGTCTCCAAACAAGTATGAGTTTCTGTGCTGCCTAAACTGTCATGTGAGCTAAAAAGAAACTTCTTGTGAATAATCATCAGCTGGCCTTTTTGTTGTGCCCAGGCAGAATATCCTCTCCTTTAGCTGGAAGAGCCTGGCAGGTTGGGCTGCCTTACAGATGGATTCTGGTTCTTACAGCTCTGCAGGACAGGACAGTATACCTCAGCATATGCAAACATGGGCAATTGTTCTGAAGCTTAACCAAAAAACCAGGCAAGGCTGATGTTAGGTTCTTAGAGTAATGCTGCCTGGAAGGGAGGATTTGATGGCTTCTAGAAGTTAAAGGAAATGATGAGGATGTAAAATCAAAAGATTGGGATCCTGTGTGAGCAAGAACGAGCTTTTGGAGTTCTACCTTTCTCTAGACTGCCTGAAGCAAAGGCATACTGGGCAATGCCATCCTGCATCCATGATCTGTGTGACATCGTTCTGTGGTGTAGAGAGGCAACCTGACCTCGAGCTGAAAGAGAAGGAGCGTGTAAGAAGGCTCGTCCATTTAAAAGCTATAATTTGCAATGTGCCCGATTAGTTTGGTCTGGTTTAACCAACCTGTTCTGTACAATTTTGGAGCATGAAGGTAGTGAGAGAAGCTTGTAGTAAGATACTCAACATTGCCAGGTATCTGGTTAGAGCACCAGCACGTGAGTGGCAATACCAAGACCAGGGAGTGAAGTGAGGCACCTGCTTGTAAAGATCTGCCTGCATCACTGATCTCAGCTCATCCCTTTTCACTTTCAGTGTTCATTGTGATTGTTGTGGAGAATGAGCCCAGGTTTTTTTTTTTTGTTGTTACTGCTCAGCGTTCAGTAAATCTGCCGTGGAGTCTCTGAAATTGGCAGTAGAGAGAGATCTAGTCTTTAATAAAAGAACTCAGCAGCAAAGTGGGCAAAGAGGATAGTGTCTTTGAGACTTAAAGGGGAGAAAAGTCTCTTGTTTGTGATTCCCTGCTTGTGAATGTTGTGAAGGCAGTGAGAGGAGCTTTCAGTGGTCAAATATCCTGGCATATGGTATTTCTGTTTAATGTCACAGCACAGGTTTCACAATGTAAAAGAATGAAAAAGGGCAAAAGTGCTCTTTTTTTTAGATACAAAAGTGCAAAACTTAAAACTTTAACAACAAAGGGCAATTTTGCACAGAGGGCAAAAAACCGAAACCCCTTTGAATGTCACTTCCATTCTTTCTTTTCCGTTGGCTGAGGGTGGATTCTTGTTCTTGATATGTATTTGTAAACTAGTCTTGCCAAAATACAAACATTTTGGTTTGGGTTTTTTTTTTCCACTCCGGATAATTTTTGTTGTTATGGCTATTGCTGATTACTTTCACTTTTTTCAAACCATATATTTTATTTCAAGAGGCCTTCCTTGTGGATTTCCTCCTGACGGTCTGCAGGACTGCACTGCTATTTCAAGATGCAAGAGAAAGTCACTAACCTCATAGGAGAACACTCAACTCCACTTAGCTGGCTGGAGCTAATAATGCGCTACTAATTTTCCTCTGCTCTGGGGGACAGGAGGGGAATTAAATTCTGCATAAAGTTGCTACCTCAAGGCTCCAAGTGCTTTTAAAGGTCTTTAACCTGGGAGAATTTCATAAGACTTCTTAAAATTGGTCTGTTCTTTTCAGTTAAATGTTTTTTAATTGATTCATTGAGGGACCCTTATTTTAATTCATTTTACATTTATTACTTGATTCTCAAAGGATGAACAGCTGCAAAGTTTGGTTTTGTGCTATAATGTTGAACACGGAAGAAAAAATATCTGCCATATAAAACCATGGTTTTAACAAGTTAAACCACTCTGGGGTTCAGCTTCACTTCTGGTTAATAAAAACCTGACATGTTGTGTCCAGCCTTCCTGTACAATCCTGTGTGTGCTCTTTATTGACTCACTGCAGCTGACACAACCCCCTAGTGCTTTCATCAGGAGTGGACTTCACAGCAGCTAACTGGATTTACTGGAGTGCCTGAGTTAACTGTTGCTTGTGTTATCAGAGCCTTACGGAGAACAGCGCTCGCCCTCTTGCAATAACCAAAAGATTTATACATTACCAGACCACCAAGTTTTGCTGTTTGGTGATTAAAATTTTACTAATATCTTAAAAGTAATACCAATTTCTGTAGATATTATTGCTCCCAATAAAACTGGCTGCTCTGATATGTCTGCCACGCTTTTGTAGAACTGATTTATTGTTTGAGCACTGTGCTAACTGGATCTTGGTTCCTAGGAGAAGCACAATATTCCTGAAGGTCTCTTGCTGGTCTACACTTACAGCTACTGAATTTTATGTGGCAAGATGCCTTTCTTTTAACCTAACTAACATTGTGGAAGGAAAATTACTTTGGTACATGTGAAATTGCCTGTTCAAATGCTCAGTATTTTGCTTTTGCTGAAGTTTTGTTTCTAAATGCATAGTGGTTTATGTACAGTTTTAAAATTAGGCTGGGGGGAGAGTAGTTCAGAGGGATTGTGGGGCTGATCATGAGAGCGCCTCTGCCAGAATATGGTACTTCTGCTTTGGGCACTTTAACTACTCAAAGACGATGCTGACACCTGAAAGGGACAGAGGGCAGCAGCATGATAAACAAGTATCAGAAAATGTTACATTTTACAGAAGAATAAGGAAAAACTGGGACTTATTTTTTCTTTTCCTATGGAAAGAAGGACTAGGGGAAAGGGGGCAGAGAATATTCAAACAAGGAGGAGTGATCCCATATTGATTAGGACAGGCCTATTAATACAGGGCATAAGCTGCAGCAGGGAAGCTGCTGATTAAGCATTGAAAAAATCTGTCTGGAAGACAGCTGGAATAAACCGCTTGGGGGAGCGTGAAATCTTCCAGCACTATTTGGTTTGTTGTTTTTTTTCTGAATGGTTGTAACCCAGCTCTGCTTAATGCTTACAGTATCTATCTGAGGCAGGGGTGGATTAGATAACCTCTTGGGGCAGGCTTTTCTGAGATATGTTGCTGTTTTCTTACGACTACCTCTTTAAAATCACCAAGGGCTTTAGCTGACACAAATAGGCTGTCTCCAGGCTTTGTGCCACAACAGCAGGAAGGTGAGAACAGCTCGGTGCCTGTAAAAGAGAGAGACGTGCCCTCTGCAGCCCAGCACACGAGTAGGCTGCCAGTGCACGGGGGCTCAGGTCCAAAGCTGGCCAAACACCTGGGGCAGAAAGAAAACCCCAAATCCAAATAGAGGAAAAACATCTTGAACTCTGAAGTTCCTCTGCACAGACTGAGCAGCTTGATGGCAAAGGTGAATGGTGCCTTGTGATTTGGGCCCTAACTCAAGCGTGTCAGATGGGTA